AACGGGTAATAAAAATAGACATATTATTTACCTCCTTGAAATATTCATGTTTGGAAGTGGGCATTGATTGCGGCAAAGTGGTAGTCTCGGCTAACCATTGGAACCAGAACTGAAAAATGATGAACTATCGATAAGTGCACGAGCGACGCTGCATGGGTGATGATCTGAAGAAGGGTGCGTCTGTTGGGTTGGTTCTGTAAAAAAATAAAAGATGAAATTGGGTCGTGCTGCTGTGAAAGATTGTAAGGGATAAGAAAAATGGCTTTAGGGTAAAAAATATTAAAAACAAAACATGTGGGGAAGAGGTTTTAATTTGTTTTTTTTAAGTGGTGGGGCTGAGTTTAAAGAAATCATGTGTTTTGGTAAAACAAAATGACTTGGTTTAGGTTTATATTATATGAGCGGAGTCTATCAAAATTAAAAAGGTGGAGGTTTTGCTAATATGCGTAGACGAGTTTAATGAAACTATGAATGTTGTTTAGGGGGTTTTGAATCGCACAAAATCATTCATTTTGAAAAGGAAAATCCTTAATTGATAAAAAATGTCAAAACCTGCTCCATATTTGTTCATTCGAGTTCGATTAAAAATATTTTGGGTACCTAAAAATTTAAGAAAAACAAAAATGAAATACATACTCAAAAAAATAAATAAAAAAATCTAAAATAAAGCAAATAAACGAAAAAATGGGTTTCCTCCCATGAAAGTGCTTTGTTTAACGTCATTTAGCTCGACGACCTTGTTCAGACTACAAGTTTTGAGAGAAATACTTCCTCCACTTTATACGTTTTTTCAACTAAGAAATTTCTTATGATAAATTTTACGAACGATAAGTTCCGTCATTTTATCCTTGTAGATTCGAATATTCTCATCAGTATTTCATCGAATATTTTTTATCTTTGGAAGCTTGTCGACAATAATGGTCGACAATATATCGTCTTCTCCAAAAAATGAATTCTTCAAATGTTCCGACAATGGTTTCACCTCTATTTTGGTGCCTGCAAAATGGAAGGTAACAACTTAGTTTTTAAAGGAGTTAAGGGCAAATTTAAATCAACAAACGAAATATTTTTCAACTCCTTGGATTTGTCTCCTTTATCCTCCAATTTCCTGGACAAATTATCAGATAAATTAGTTTTCACAAACTCATTTACTAAGGGATCAAAAACATCAACGAAACTAATATTCGCAACATTATCTGGGTACTTCATCGCCTTATACATTTCAAATTTAACAACATCACCGTTGAATTCCATGGAAAGAATTCCACTCCTAACGTCAATTTTGGTATGTGTCATGCTCAAAAAGGGACGATCGAGAAGAATTTCAGAGGAAGTGTTGGTTCGATCATTTTCCATGTCAATCACATAGGAATCCGCTGAAAAATTCAAATAATTTACCTTAACTAGTACATTTTCCACGAGTCCTTCAGGATAAATAACACATCAGTCAATGAGCTAGATTATCACTTTCGTTTCCTTCAAAGGCTCTATAGTAAGTAATTTGTAAACAGAAAGTGTCATAACATTAATAGAATTACCAAGATCACAAATAGTACTCTTAATCCCTTTCTTACCCATTTTACAAAGTATAGCAAACATACCTTGATTCTTAAACTTAGGTGGAAGCTTACATTGAAAAACGGATGAAATGTTTTCAACTAAGTTCACCTTTTCGTTTGCGATAAGTCTCATTTTTGTGTGTGCAGATATCCTTTAGAAATATAGCATATTTCAGCAATTTTCGGATTACCTCAAGTAATGGTATATTGATCTATACTTTCTGGAACACATTAAGGATTTCCTTTTCTTCTACTTGCTTATCTCATATTACTAATCTCAACGGGAACGGAGGTGGAACGACATATGGGGAAGGCGTAGAAAATGTCGTAGAAAGGGCTTGCGTTAGATGAGATGATGTTTCATCTTGTTTTTTCTTTTAGGGTCGTGTGGCCTCCTACTCTGAAATCTCTGGTGCAATAATGGTTCCACTCCGAAGGGTGATGGTACTAATGTTTTCTCGTGGGTTTGCGATAGTAACCTTCCCTAAGACTCCAATTGACTCACAACTTATTTTAATTGACTCATTTATTTTTCAAGCTCTTGAAAGTGAGCTTCAGTCTTGATTTGAAATTTATCATGGGATATCTCTAAACATTTTACAATCATCTTCAATGACAATTTCTTCGGGTTAATACTATTGAGGTGGAGGTGGCCTTTGTTGATATGCTTGGTTTTGTCCCTAGTTTGGTCCATAGCTCATGCTCAGATGATCTTACCATCCTAGATTATATATGTTGGTGTGAGGATTGTAAGGCCTCTAAGGAGTCCCTAAAAAGTTTCCCACTACATTTTTTTATGTGCCAACATCTTCTTGTAACATCGGACAACAGTCTGTTGGATAGTCCGACATTGTGCATATTGCTCATACTCTGGCTGTACCAATTTTACCTGTAACAAGAGAATTAACTACATCAGTTAACTTATCAATTTTATCTTCCAAATTAAATATACTTATCTCATGAACCCATCGAGTGGGTTCACGAAGAGGGCGAAACTATTGAGAGTTGGCAGCAATTGTAAAAATTAAATTTCTCGCTACAATGATAACTCTCCAAAAGAGTTATTTCTAGTAGCCTTAATTACCTAGGTTTAGTTTGAACTTAAGCATATTTAGTATCATTTTAGGATTAAAATTACTTAATTTTACATATTTTTCATGGTAGGAGCATCGTGGGTAAGTGAGGGCTAAAATTGATTTTTACTGCTGAAAACTATTGCATTAATGCCACAACAATGCAGAAAATGCTGATCATATGTTGTAGCAGTCATTTAAGCTCCAGATGGTTGAGAAAAACCTTTTAGATTAGGATAGCTGGCTCGAGTATCTTTCATTTGGCTAGATAACACCTGAAATGTGGATCTTTCCTATTAGGTGATGAAATTCTCATCCAAGCTATAAAGAGGAGTATTTGGTTGCAAAAAGTGTGACAATTTTGAGAGATCCAAAGTACCTTTCAATCCATGGAAGCCTAAGTTCTCTGCCAAGAATTGATGCAGAACAAAGGAAGCTTGTTGAGGAGCTTCAGCGGTTAACGGATCACCATTCAATGATTTCTATTGAGAGAGAAAGTGATTTGAATGTTTAACTTGTTGATAGATTTTATTATGAATTTGTCTATTTTTTGTTCACTTGGGTACTTAGTTTATGAGTTTTGAACTTCATGATTGTGAGTAGAAATATTTGCAATTAGATATATAGTATTTTCATTTAATAAAGAAATAGTTTCATTCGAATTACTATATACATTTGTGAGCATTGGTGTTGTTGAGTAGAATAGGTGTTCTGAAAAGTGTCTAGCCAATTGATTAGTATTGTTAATAACTTGAGCCTTTAATTAATTAAAGTTATTAAAGTAGTTCAAATGGGTTTAATCAATGTTGATCACATAGATTAAGTGTGCATTGTTTGCAGAAAACTTGGAAATCATAATATTATATCCTTTGATTCGATAGTTGACTAATTGCTTTCTAGAATGTTGTAGCATGAACCGATATCTTTTGTTATTGATTTCATTACTTTCTTTCTAGCATCTCGTATTTTTGGTAAATAATATTGTTAAAAACTTTAATGATAACACTCTGCTCCCTTTGGGTTAGACATACGTAGCATCAATTGATACCATTTGATTACTTGAACGATACATATACTTGTGTTAAATGCTATAGCATCTTACATAGCATCATGCATTCGGGGTCATATTAAATAGAGCTCCTCCACTAGCTGCGTCGACCATCTTCATCTCCAAAGAAATCAAGCGTAGAAGTAATGTAGAAGGGTATGTTCAGTTAATCCGTGTTGCGGAAAGCTAGCGCCTAACTTCTTGAATCACTCCCAATAGTCATAAAGGGACTTTCTGTCTTGTTGTTGGATTCCCAAGATGTGTCTCCTCAATTCACTCCCAATAGTCGTAGGGAAGAACATGTCAAGAAAAATATGAGTCATGTCAGCCCATATCGTAACAGAATTAGGAGGTAAATAAAATAGTCATTCCTTAGCCAAATCGACTAAGGAAAAAGGGAAAGCGCAAAGTTTGATTTGATCCTCGAAAACACATTGGGGTTTCATGCTTGAATAAACCATATGAAATTCCGTAAGATGTTTATGCGGATTTTCACTGTGCAATTCATGAAAGGTAGGAAGAAGATGGATAAGACACGTTTTCAGTTGGAATAGAGTTTCGCCTTGAGGGAAGGTGATGCATAATGGTTGTTGTACTGTAAGAGCCGCAGTTAATTCCTGGATCGTGGGATTGACCATCGGAATAGGTTCCTCGTATGTGTAATGTGTATCAGCATCGGTAGTTCTTCGGGTATTGAATTTGAGCGTTGATCTTGTTGTTGTTGTCGATGTTGTTTCTTTTGTCGAAGTGTTTGTCCGTGTATTATCCAAGCTAGTGCTTCGATCTCTGAGTCACAATCTAATAGCTCATGTTATGATAGATCACGTGGGTCTGTCAGGGGTCATGTTATGTACTGTAGCTGACTGGGAGGCTATGATACTCCTGTGTTTGAAGGATATGGGTTCCTTGGAGGTTTCAGTATATAGAGGGGTTTATTGGTAGATTATCTCCGGAGGTATGACAAAACTAAATCTAGTGTTGCACCAACATAAATATGATGGACGGTTGTGAGAAAAAAACATATAGAGAAACAAAATGAGGAAGAGAGAAAAGTTAATTGAATATGAAATCTAAATTCAACTAAGGATACAACTCATTTATTTATATTAGAAGCTACTTACTTCTCTCAACAAAATTACAACAAACTCATTAATAAACTACTAACTCTGACTATGAGTCACAACTCACATTAACATTCATCCATTGATCACTATTACTAAACAACTAATTCAATCTATGACTCACAACTCACATTAGCATTCATCCATTGATCACTATTACTAATTACGAGAGTAATTATCAATGCTTCTCCACTGTTTTCTAATGAGTCTCTTGAAGCTTAACTCGTTCAGAGTCATTTCGTTCAAGCTTGAAACGTTCTTGAACCGAAGAGATGTAAGTTGCAGCTTTAATATCAACAGCTTCATCACCAGCAAAGCCGAAGAAGGTGTCAATCTGGCCTAAATTTTCTTGCTTCTTATCAGCAGGTATGAAAACTGAAACCTGCTTCGGTTTCGAAACTTTGTAGTCCTGGTGAACTCGAAAGCTGAATGAAGCTGTGGTAGTGGAAGCCTTGTTCGGCTTCACACTCTTGGTGTACAGCATCGCTGGTACTGCTGGCTTGGCTGCTCGGTAGAACGGTGCCAGCTTGGACTTGATGAATCCTCGGCGCTTCCGGTTGGACTCCATCTTATTACCTCTAGTTATTGCTATTTGATTTCAGATCAATTGATCAAATGATGCGTACTATCGCAGCACAATACTTGGGTCCGGTTATATATAATTATTAGCTATTATTATGCTTTCTGAAATAATTATTTATAAAGAACTAATTACACACGTTATAAATATAGATTAGGGGTGTTCAAAAAAACCCGGAACCATTAGTCGTAACAATTAACCGGTATAACTGTTACATTTAACATATTGATTAACTGAACTGTTAATATTAAACGGTTTTGGTTAACCGAACCGTTAAAAATGATAGTTTACGGTTAATGTTACGATTACAAGTTTTGATAAACGGTTAACCAATGATTAACCGTTAAGAAATTAAATTTATAATTATATTTCTAATTTATTATATTTTTACACAAATAACTTAATATAGTTTTCTATTATTTATAATTTATATATATATATAAATATAAATATATATATATATATATATTTAATAAAATTTGTATACAAATAATTTAGTATATATGTATATATATATCATTTTTAATTTATATTTCTTTGAAAATATAGAAATATTCTTACATCAATATAATTATGTGTTTATTGTTAGATACTAAGATATTTGGAGATGTACATAATTACACCGATGTAAGTATGCGTTAAGTGTTACACTTTTTTGTTTTAGTTACTTACATCGATGTAAGTATATGTTAAGTTATATAGTTTTTTGTAGTATGAATTATGAAATTTTTTTATAAATAATTGTAATAGGTCAACCTATGGTTAATCTGTAACCAAATAGTGGTTAATCGTTAGTGGTTATCCGTTTCTTAACGGTTAGAAAAATTTCATAACCGTTATAACGGTTAGCCGACCGTTTAGACTAAACAGTATGGTTAACCGTCCATGAACAGTCCTAATATAGATATTAATTTAATTATGGCTCCTTCGCAAAATATCTATGATTATTAGGGGGAATCAGAACCAAATGGGCGAAAAGTGGTGGATCCCAGAAAGTAGAAAGGATTCCTTCCCTCTGATTTGCTCATGTTATGACCTTTTTAGAGAGCTTTGAATCCTGGATGAGGCACCACACGGCTATAGGCATGGGTGCATCTTGGTTCAAGCGAGAATGGTACTGTTGCATCACCCAATGATCGCCATGGGGAATGGCTTCGTCATCTTTTTCTCTTTTTTACATGAAATGGACAAATAACTACTCGCCTACCACTGATAGTATAGGAAAAGCTTATACACAGCTTTATTCTTTTGGTTTTTCTTTTCCTGTTTCATCGCTTTTTCATGTTTGGATAAGCGAATATGCATCTTCAAAGAAGACGAGCCTGAATGTATGTATATATATATTTATCTTCTTTAAATCATGCAATATAGATCTCTCCTTTTTGCACGATAGGGCAAGCGACGGTTTAGTAAGAATACCGCAACTACCTTTGGGATTTTTGCTTTATGCACACATGAACTGAACAGTGAAACAAAGTTTCCATGTTTTTGGACGTACATGTGTGGATAAGATATACATATATTCTATTTTTACTTGATTGAAAAGCCGTTCGTAGCACCTAAACAACTTGTCAATGCCAGTGGGGCATAGATTCAACATTTTTAACCTATGGATATGTCCTGACTCGTTTGAGAATAAGAGAAAACTTTGAAATCTTGTCTTGATGAAAAAGAAACTATCAATGCTATTAAATTGTATCTCATTAAAACAATGACCGACCGAGTAGGTATTCTCATCCTTAATTTAAATTTCCATATATTTTATAGTTTAGATATTTTTTTGTATTTTCTATTGATAATCTAATTTCATTGTGTTAAAATTTTGCAATTTAACATTGTTATAACTCCATAAATGAACTCCGGAAATTTCCAAACCTTTATCAGACCGAACTTGTTGAAACTGCCAACACTCCGTCAACCAAGGTCTCCAGTCATACCCCTTCGCCCACCAGAGTCTCCAACAAGCGTACATCCTCCAGACACATGATTCTTAGTCAACTACACTACATAGATAAGACCTCTAAAAGGTTCACGTGATTTACCAAAACATAATCTAAGGTCTGACAACTAGATTTGTCTAACTCATTAGTCTACAAATATTCATGATGAACTTACGTCTCATACATGCACTAAAGGTCACTATAAATACCAAAAACCAAGACTGGAAAAGGGGCTGGAAACTTCCATAATCTACATCTCATATTTATCTTCAACATTATGACCAACCCCCACTCATAGAAAAACACAAGTCAACAGTCATTCCCTTGATGGTTGCCGCTCTTAGCCTAAACTAGAAGAGGTGAATCACAAACGAGCGACGAGATAAACTTTTTCCCATCAACAATTGGAGCAGTGAGCATTGTAAAATCTCATAATTGACAAAATCTATCAAGATCTCACCAAAAAATTAGAACAGTTATCCTCATCCTCCCCAAAATTAAAACAATCATCTTTATCTCTGGCTAGTCCATTGAAACAGACCATAGATGCCTATGAATGGGAGAACAAAGGTGAAATGAAATGATGCAAACCATACCACTAGTCCCTTTCACCAAGGCTGACCTTCCAAGCATAAGAATGAAAGGTTCGAGCTGTAACAAGGCATATTTATCGAGGAGTATCGGATGCCAATGGCTCTCCCATGACAGTGACGAGGGTGAAAAGGCTCAACGATATGCGCGAAGAAGCATCCATGAAGATTCAAGGAGTCAAACCTTGGAATACATCGTTTGCAAGAACAACATGTAAAAGCATTCACAATTGTTGAAATGCCCCCTAACAGCTCACGGGTATCGATGAGCCTTTCCTACAAACGGGCAACAAAGGTTATGGACTTACCATTTCTAGCAAGAACAACCCTCGTGAGAAACTACTTCTAGCTTAAGTACTTAGTAAATCCTCCTCTAGGAATAACATGTAATATTTGAACAACTAATAAATGTAGGCATTTTGAAATCTCTATGTAAGTGTCTGATCTCCTAGTATGGTTTATCATCCTCCATTGTGATGCCACAAAAAATACGCCCCCACTATGCTACCATAGTGGAGATGCCCCTAATCTACGTTCAAAAGAGCATCGAGTTATCTACGCTTGAAGTGTTGAGATACCGTCACTCACTGAAAGACACAGGATGCCTCCAAATGCAAGAGAAACCTCCACCCACTAAATACAGAAATGCTTTGCTGCCTTCATACCTACTAATTGTGAGTTGCCCCTATTGGTTGTTGAGTTGCCTTTACCCCAATTTATGGGTAAAAAATAGCGTGAAGGGTCGAGATGCCTCTATTACAGTGTTGAGATGCATTTTCCCCCATTTTGAAAAAGATGCCTCGGTACTACATGCGGTGTATGGTACACGTAGAGATGACTCTGCACCCATCACATAGCGTTACTATATATTGAGAATCCTTTTCTACCTGGTTGAGTAGCATTGAGATGCATTACGCTATCCTCAAACAAATGGGATCATGTCTCAAAATAGCTAAAAGAATTAAGAGCCTCCGTTTTTGGTGTCGAGATGTCTTTACATTATTTTGGAAAAGATGTCTCAATTTTACCTGCAATGTAACACATTGAAATGCCTCTGAACCCACCACAGTGTGCTACCGCAGACTGATAAGCCTCCTCTACCTAGCCAAATACTGTTGAGATGCCTCACGCTCTCTTCAAACAGATAAAATCATGTCCTGAAACCGACCAAAAGACTTGAGAGCCTTTCATTTGGCGTTGAGATGCCTTTGACCTATCTTGGCAATGATGTCTCTATTTTACTTAAAGTGTAAGAAACGCGTTGAGATGCCTCCCCACCCACCATAGTGCACTACCAAAGACTAAGAAGTCTCATCCACCTGGACAAATAACATCGGGACATCTTACTCTCTTATTAGACAAATGAGATTACATCGTAAAACCTATCAAAAGCGTTGAGCCTCCACTCTAATGGAATGTTGAGATTCCCCTACCTCGAAACTAACAAGATAACTTCGAAAGCCTGAATGAAGGTGGGATCTCTCCCACTCTTGCTGGGTCACCTCTATAAAATTTGAAGATACCTCCACACTACGACGCTGAGAAACCTTTACCCTGGCAAGAGGAAGGTTAGTCTTTCTCCATGGTAAAGATGCTTTCACCTAACTACTAGATTTTTCTAAGGGAATGGAGTTGTCACTTCTTGATTTAAGGGTTTAGAAACCTCTGGAAGTCTCTGCTACCTCTTTACAGCTCCGAGATACAAAAACACTGTCCATTCTTCGCACGAGACTGAATATGAAAATTGAGAAATGACTTGGAAAGGAATTTCTCCTTAAAACATACCTCTGTATCTAAGCATTGAGAACTTTGCATGAAGAATCCTTCTCTCTATAATTGATACCTTTGCACAAAGCGTAGAGGATTTTAGACAAATACCACCACAATATGTTATGAGTGTGTGAGTGTAATCACCATTTTTTACCTCTAATGTCGTAACCGGTTTTCGTCCGGGCACAAAATTTTTAACTTGGCGGAAAAAATAACACGAATAAATAAATGATTTTATTTTAAAAAATATTTTGGGAGTCGCCATTGACCTTTTGGGTCAGGTAGGTCAAATACCTAAAAACAATCTTTTAAAATAGTTTTGAATAAAACATAATTTAAAAGATAAAACTGATCTGCATATAACCAAAAATTTTTAATAAAAAAGGATTCGTGGCCGATTACGTTTGAGGAAGGATTAGCACCCCACAACGCCCAAAATTAGTACTTATTAATTATAAATTGTCTTTATCATTTAAAAATTCAAATATATTTAATTCATAATTCTGTTAAGTTTATTAATATATACATTTTATTAAACAAGATATTTATTTATTTAGAAATATCAAAAAAGGGCTTCTAGGTGCTTTAAGACAGCTCCTTTCTTAATATTAATAAATTTTAATAAAACATTTATCTAAAAATAATATCAAAGTAGATTTATATATTAAAATATTTATTTTTATCAGAA